CATTACCATTTCGCCTTGTCAAGTTGCGTAGTACGAATGACGGACAACACACACACACACACGCCAGACAACACACACACACACACGCCACACACACACACACACACACACACACACACACACACACACACACACACACACATATGCAGACGTGCAGTCTCGTTCCAGTCCTTGCAAAACACTATTAGATTTCGAGTGTATCTAGCGGCAGAATCCGTCGAGATACTTCCTCCATTTCCACAAGTTCAATACGGAAATTGCGAGTGTACCTAACAATGGAATCCAGAAGTTCAATAAGGAAAGGTTGACAATGGAGGAGGACGAGAGGGAGGGGTGACGAGGAGAAAGTTGGAGGAGGGAGGAACGAGGGAAGAGTAGGGAGGAGCAGGGAAGAGGAACATTTCGAGTGTATCTAGTGGTAGAATCCGTCGAGATACATCCACCATTTCCACAAGTTCAATACGGAAATGGCGAGTGTACCTAGCAGTGGAATCGACAAGTTCAATACGGAAAGGTCAACAATCGAGGAGGAGGAGAGGGAGGGGTGACGAGGAGAAAGTTGGAGGAGGGAGGAACGAGGGAAGAGAAGGGAAGCCGAGTAGGGAGGACAAGGATTATGACGATGATGGACGAGAAGAGAGGATGGAGGCTGGACGAGAAGAGAGGAGAGGGACGAGCATGGATGGACGAGGAGGGAGGAGGGCGATGAGCATGGATGGAGGAGGAGGGAGGGATGCGATGAGCATGGAGACACACACGCTCGGGGGCACGCTCACCTTTGCACAGCACCTTCGCACAGCAGGCATATGCACTCCGACGCAGCGATCCCCGACGCGGCGAGCTCGAAGACTGACTGCTGCACCGTTTTTCCATGGCGGCGCGCGAGGTACGTAGTACGTACCACTTCGAATTTGAATTCCGGCCGCCACTGATGCAAGGGCATCAGAGAAAGATGTGTGCCCCTCGTGAGGGCATTTCAAGGACTGACCGACGAAACGCCACCAGCTGTCCAGTAAGGGCATATCGGAAAGTCGCGCCCCATGCTGACAGGGGCCTGTGGAAAATTTCAGAGGCCCGAGGGGCACAACAGGGTAAGTCGGCCTTGACAGGGGCCCGCCGCAAATAAACACAAACTTCAGGGGCATTTCGAAAATTTTCCCAAAAAAAATAATAATAATAATAAAAAAAAAATCCCCTCCTATTTTTTTCTCTTTTTTTTTTTTTTTTTTTTAACCCAAAAAAAAG